CTCCCTGTGCACTACATACTGCTTATGACACATGAGAGATGTCTAATAAAAACAGTGGGACTTTGAAAAACACGCTTTATTTCTACTAAAACAACTAAATACTCAAAAGAAAAAGTTTTATGTCAGACATCCTATGAAAACATGGATGCAATCCATACATCAATTCATAAGACATAACCAATAAATAGCGATAACCACGATAAATGTCATCTCTCTCTCTCTCTCTCTCTCTCTCTCTCTCTCTAAAAGTCACTAAAAATGACACAATTTTCATGTATTGCAATGAATTATCAAATATTATGCAATTAATTGAACACAAAATTTGCTATCACTGCCAACGACACCACACATAGAGTTAAATAAAATTAATTTTTATTGGAAAAAATATTTCTCTTATCTCTTAAAAAATTTATATTTAAAAATCTGCTATATTTTTTTGCGTCTCAATAATGCAGTGTTTAAATCATTGGTTAAATTATTTGAAATGTCTAACTCTTGCCCACCACTCCTCCCTCTGACCGAAAATTTCAATAATGTTCGCTCACACCGGTATAGGGATGATAGAGATAACCAAAAAATTATTGTTTTTATTTGAAAGATCGTGAAAATAAACTCCAAATGCTCTCTGGTTTGCAGACAAATCTTATTTTATCAACAGATATATATCTCTCATCAAAAAATTTATTTATTTATTTATTTATTATATGTATCTCTGTTTTCAGATACGGAGGAAATATATATATATATATATATATATATATATATATATAAGGGTTGCACTTAATTTGATATTTATTTATATGTATATAAATTGTTGTTATTTTTTATGTTTCAAACTATTCGTGTGCGTCAAATATAATGACATTTTTTATTAACGCTTGTAATTAAATATTTATAGTGATATTTAATATTATGCAGTATTTTATTATACTTTTCTTTATATTCCTTAAAAATTTGTTTTTTTTGTCTTTTTTCTGTCATTAATGTGTTATACCATCTCTTAGTACTTAAAAAATCTGTAAAACGACTTTTTCTGCCAATATATTATTCAAATAAATAATAATAATATATTTTTGAATTTTGATGATTTCCCTTTATATACTGTACTATACCTTATATAGTGTATATATATACAGTATATATTGTATATACCGTATATAAAGATATTCAAAATATTTTGAAATGTTTTTTATATCATATATAAAATTAATAAAATATTTATTTCTACTAACTCTCCCCTATTTTTTATATATTCATATAAAAATTATATTTTAAATTATTATTTAAGATTTTTCATTTTATATTTTAAATCCCCTGAAAAATATTGTGAAACAAGACATTTATAACGAATTTTAAATAAAATATGAGTGAAATAACAAAACAACAAAAAATATTTTACAGCAAAATTTGATTTCTCTTAAGTGAATGTGATATCGATGCGATTAAAATTTTTTTTGCACTAAAAATAGTCTTAAAAATTATTTTTATTTTGTTACAAAATAATTCAAATATAATATTATTATTGTTTGTTTGAGTACAAGAAATCCATCATTAGTTGAGAGAACAGATGTGGGCGACAATAAAGGGGACAATAAATGCATCGACTATTTGACAGACAAACAACTCATGAATATTGAGCCAAAAAATTTATTTCAGATCTAATTTTTCAAATTTTTTTTTCAAAAATCATTATATTATTTATATGTCGTGTTTGATGAGTCAAAACATGTGTAGATTACATATGCCTTTAGTTTGTATGTTGAGGTTATGCAAAGCTAATTAAATTGCAGTTTTAATTTATTTTTTTTATTTTTCTAATGAATTAGTTTTCTTTTTATTTTTGAAAAATGTTTGCAATAAAAAATATAACAAAATTTCAAATTAAACTCAAAAATTATTTAAATCATTAGATTTCAAATATTTCTGTAATTTATAAATAACAAAACTATGTACACTGTATTTATGGATTTAAAACAATTTTTTATTCAGCAAATATTGAAAGATATTTTTAATTTCTAACTCTTTGTTAATACACAATAAAAAAGAGGAGTATTTATGCCTAAAATAATTAGAAACACGACTATAATTTATTCACGATTTTTGTTGAATACAGTGTTTAATAAATCAAAAATTTATTTTGAAAAATTGTAAAATCGAGTAAAAGATATTGAGTAAAATATTATATTAAAAATGCTTATCTGATAATATTTAAACAAAAAATAATGTGAGTTTTTTTCCTAAACAAAAATCTATCTATAAGTTTATAAGATATTGTGAACGCACTTAACACAACACAACATTAATTTAGTAATAGATATACGAAAAAAATCCAATAATGAAAATGTGTACCAAATTTTTATACATCACTGTAAAAACTACACTTAAAAATATAATACAATCGACTGATCAAAGATATGATTAATACATTATATTTTTTTAAAAAGAGATTTTTATTTTGGTATTTTCGGAAAAATATTAAGTGTTTAGTGTTTCACATGAGTATATTAATAGTTTTTATTGGCAAACCAGGAATCGTTATTTTGTGGTAAAAAATTTTACTAATACTATGTATTTGAAAATACCGGTATATAAAAAAATTACAAATTGTTAATAAAAAAATATATAACGAAGAGAATAGGATTTCATGTTTTCTTCTCTGGCAAACAATTAATTATATTTTAGAGGCCATAAACTATGTATATATATATTGTTTTTCTATATTATAAAATATATATTAACTTTGTGTTGTTTTAATCAATGACTTAATGGAGTATTAAATTAGATAACAGGTATATTGAGTAATGATTTTTTGTTTTAGTTTGAACTCTAACTAACAAAGTAATGCCTTTTTTCTCGCTATATTATCGTCAAAATACATGACACGCGTCTATATATAACAATAATAATATAATAGCATAACATTTATTATATAATTATTTGGGAAAAAATAATATCAAAATTTTTCTCATAATTTTATCCAATTTTTGCTTACTTTTAATATGTTGTTTAATAGATATGAGTATGTGTTTGTTCACTCATTCATATAGTCATTGATTCATGTAATTTCACTAATGCTATATAAATATAATCGTTAACTAATATAATAGTAGGGTTTTATTTTTTACTGATATAATAATAATAATATCATAGAAAAATAAATTGTAACTTTTGAAAACAAGCAGTTGTCAAAAAATGTGTGATAAAAGAGTAGCTAAAATATATATATATATATAAATATATAAATTTTCAGTGAAAATTAAATCTTTACTCCAGAGAGACGGATACGGGAATCATGTGTGTGATGTCAACTGGGTTTTCATAAAACACACACACACACACACACACACACACACACACACACACACACACACACTCACTCACTCACTCACACTCATGGTTTTTATTGAAAATAATTGGATATGACTGTGTAAATCACCCTTTTTTTTGGCTGTCACTAAATTATTATTAAACATTAACTATTCAATCGCTATCCCAACCTTTTATTACTTGAGAGCTGAGAAAATGGCAACAAAAGTGAAAGATTTTTATATTAAGTTTTTTATTTTATTTTTTTTGTAGAAAAATAATCATAAAATGATAAAAAATATTAATATTGAAAAATATATAAAGTTTATGTAAACATAGACATATAAAACAACAGTAAAGTTAACATCGATTTGATTTTAAATGATTTTCAGGCAAATGCATTGTCAGAGATAATATACAAAAAATTTTATGTAATTTTTGTTATAAATGCAAATTTTTATTTCTTTTTTAATATATAATATTATATATATATATATATATTTATCTTTCTCTGTCTTTCTTCAATTTTAATATTAATATTTAACAACAAAATGTTTAAAAACATTAATGAAATTCAAAAATTAAATTCAGATAAAGATTTCTCTCTTTCTTTAAACTTTCAGTGAGTGAGTGAGTGAGTGAATTAGTTAGCAAACAATGACTCTTTTAATATAAGCTCTTGAATATTAACAATAGATGTTATGTGTGTTATTGAAAATAATTATGAATTTTATAAAATATAAAAAAAACATTTTGTAAAGAGAGGACTCCATTTGATTCAGTATTTAAAAATGTCTTTTAAATAAATTTCAATACAATTTAAACAGTCATTTGTTAATGTTTTGTCATCTCTTTGATGGTTATATTGGCATTACATTAGACTTTTATATATATTGTATAAAATTATACTGTATTACATATAAGTTGTTGTCTATCAGTGCTCTAACACTTGCATCCCTGTGCTTATTGAATGAAAACTCTGGGTTTGGGATACAAGTAAACCAAAGCATGCGTTTCTTCCTGTCACGCATCACATCATACATATACAATATATAGCAGTCTATACATTACCTACCAGTGCCAACAACTCATACTTTTTCCATTATTTAAAATCCATTGATAGACACTCTATGAGAAAGTTTGTAATTTTTTGCTATTCAATTCATTCATCTCTGAAAAACATAATAATAGTATAGTTATAAAACCCATACTCAGTGTCCCACTCCATGTTCTCTCAACTCTTTTAATTTTTGATAACAATTACCACAATATATCATTGAAAGTCAATTTTCATTATAGTAATCAAATGAATGTAATGATTTTTAGCTAAAACTACTGTTTCGTTAACCCTTTCCTCTCACATGATTATTGCTGAGCACTTTAATAGATATTAAAAATGTTTCAGAAATGTTTTTCCCCTATTTTTATGACTCCCATAACTCGGGAATAGTAGTATTATTATTGTCTTTTTCAGTTCACTTGAATCCTAATATTCAGGAAACTCATGGCTTTCCTCATTGCGAGTGCTTTCTCATAGCAATCGCTTTGGATAAATCAGTAGCAAAAATGACATTGTTTTGTGTCCCGTGCTTCGAGGCGGCTCCGGGAGGATAAATACACGTGACATATACTGTACATCAGCAGCAGCTTTGGCAGCACTCATAACAGGCGCTAATAAATAACGATTAGCTCACCCTTAATGTCGATAATACGCTTATATATGTAGAGAAAGGCCGCTTCAGCCGCTTTGCTTCGTTTGCTGAGTCGGTCGATCTCCGACTGGAAACTCTTGAGCAGTGGTGACACAGCCTTTCGAGCCGACTGTCAGGACAGCCAACAACAGCGCCAATAGATACCATACCATACCATACCATCAAGATTGTTGACATCACCAAACAGATATAACAGTGCCAAATAGTATTATGATAGACAGGCACAGGGAGATGATGGAGAGGGGGATAGGAAATGGTGATAGAAAAAGAAAATCAAAATTTATAATTACTTAAATTACAGATAAAAATATCATATATTTATGCAAAACATCTTTCACTGTATTTTTTCACTGCTCTTAATATTTTTTATAATATTTTTGTTATAACATTTTGCTTAACGCTATTTTTATATACAAATATTAGTTCATATATAAAAAATAGTGTTTGTTTTTATGTATAAATATTTATTAAAAATATGCGCTTCAAAAATAAACCCTATTTTCCGGTTCAATGTATATATAAGTCAGTATTTTATTTGAGGATACAATTTTGTATTTCAATGTTAAATCATATTATAAAAAAGTTTTTTTTTGTAAAAATTGGTATATTTAAAATTTATAATATATTTTCAATAACAACAAGAATATTCTGCAATATAATTCTCATATAAGAAAAATAATAAAACAAAATAATTGTTATTATTTATGATAATTAAATTATTAGATAAACTTAATTAATATGATTATAGATTTATTTGTATCGTTTGTTAATAGATAAATGTTTATATAGTATGAAAAAACTGTAGTACTTTGACTCTCAATAATCAATTATGAAACAAACTTTAAGCATTTATATTGATTGTCTGCGGAATAAAAAAAACTGTGAGAAAGAAATGTTTCAATATTTAGTAGTGTTAACTGTATTTGTAAATGCAATAGAAATAATAAATTGAATTTTTAGCCAATAATTAAATCATATAATAAAAAAATTCTCATTTTGATTACTATAACCTTAATAAATGGATAAACATTTCTTTGAGTAATAACTATTAAATCTCATTTCTCTCTGTACTTAAAGACTATGAATTATCTTTCAAAGTGATTGGCGGAGAAAAAATTTAATATAATTGTGTAGTGAGTCTTCAATTTGCAAATTAGTGATCGCCTATAAATAGATTGCTTTACAAGCGATGTGTTGTTGTTTGTGTTGTATAAGTGTTTTTTGGGTATATATTTGAAGACTGTTTTGGGCGAACCGTCAAAATATAGTGAGTCCTCAGAGTCCTAATGATGTATTAGACATCGCAAGCAGTTATGCGTTGTATTGAAGCTCACAAATAACTTTTTAGGCAACTTTTGAAACAAAGAATCTGCTTTTTTAATTGAGAGGGTCGGGTATGGGGTGTGGGGGACGGCATGTGATATGTTTGAAGGCATTTGAGAGTTGAGATGAGCGCTTAATTACCAGTCAAAGTCTTTTCAATGATAGTACCAATGAATAGAAAGTTGCGATAACTTATAAATATATGCATATATTTATTATATCTATATATTTGTTTTAATTTACTAAAAAACGATATCCCGTTATACAGTATGTGTCCCAACTCTAATCGCAACAATCAGTTGCAAAGTCAGACAAACAATTATGTGTGTGTTTGCACTCACACTGCTATAACTGATAGCGATTGTCATTCATTTGCAAAATACATTTTTAAGGCGCCTTTAATTGAATACCAAATAATAAAGAGCTCGACTTTTTTTGGACACATGCCTAATGACTCGGTTAGGGCCGGAAATAGGGGACAGTCAGAGGAAATTATTGGCAAACCAAGTGATGTAACCGAGTATTGCACCTAATTTGCAGTCATTCAGATTGACTATTAAAAGTATATATTCACTACTCATATTAAGTATATTTATATCGTATCGGATATTTATTCCCATTTTTTCACATAAAAATTAATTTACAAACTTTTCCTAAGTATTGAATTTTTAATAATACTATTTATTTATAAATATAAGATCATTACCTAAAAACATTAAATATCTATTCACAGAAACTCATTGATAACTAGTATTTTTGAGTTATTAGTTGCCACTATTATTACTAATAGCTTATATAATAATATTAAAAGTTTTTAGTCAAATAATGGTAAATGTATTAAATATATTTAACAAACAATAGGTATAATATTAATGTATTTTATGATTTTCATACAATAGATGAGTAAAAATAGCGGAAAACAAACCAAAAATCAGTAATAATTTGAGTTAAAAGTGAGTGAGTGAGTGAGTGAGTGAGTGAGTGAGTGAGTGAGTGAGTGAATGAATGAATGAGTGAGTGAGTGAGTGAGTGAGTGAGTGAGTGAGTGGAGAGAGAGAGAGAAAGAGAGAGAGAGAGTCTGATAGTCTTTATCTCAATAGTCGGCTTTAGCTTTGATGGCAATGCAATCAACTATTTGTGTAAACGGCAAACGTTAATGACTTCCACAAAGTTGTCTATTTTTTCGACTCTCTCTCTCTCTCTCTCTCTCTCTCTCTCTCTCTCTCTCTCTCTTTCTCTCTCATTCAGTATTTTTCATTGAATGAAAATGCATAACATGTTATGTCTATCGTCAATGAGACGAATCACTTTTGAAGCTCATCTCAGATGTGAGATCTGAGAGCTAAACATACAGATAGAGTACAAGTTTAAAGAGCACAGGGATTGATAGCATGGGAATTGTTGGCTGTGTTTTTAGGAGAGGGTCAGCACACTCATAGACATCACTAATGTCTAACGATGCAAATGGACCGGAACCACGGCTTAAACATATAAATATTACATTTATTACATTACAAAACATAAGGTCTAGAAAACAACTAATAAACAACTAAACAACCAATGTTTTCATATATATTACAAACAAATACTAACATTAAAAATACCTAAAAGACAACAAAATTATTGGCAATTTATTTGAGTCAACAACTCAGAGATGGTGTAAAAGAGAGAAAAAAAGCTATGAATATAATTATAAAACATTGAATGTTATTAAAAATAAATAAACAAATAAATCATAACAAATTAAGTTTTCACAATATTTATTATATTAATTATTATATGATCAACAAAAAAAATAATAATGTTTATTATAAATTTGAAAATTTGAAAGTGATCAACAACAAAAAAAATAGTGATAACGATAGTTTTACATTTAAGCTGTCATTTTAAATATATGTGCATTTAGTTAAAAACTTTATTAAAAACTTATCTCAATTTGTTTTGTTTTTTTTCAATCATACAAAACAAATATAGACATATAGTATAGACAAAAACAGTGATATATTTATAATATTAAAAAATCTAATCATAATAATAGTGCCGATGAATAATAAGTCTCATCCGGAAAGGTGTGGATTAAAATAAACGCCAAATTGGTTGGCAATACATTTATATGTATAAAACCGAACCCCAAAATAAATGAATGAAATTTTCTTTTATATTATGAAAAATTATAAACTTTTTACTAAATTTGTTTCACTTGTTTTCTTATTGTATATATATATATATATATATATACTTGAGTTGTAAAACACGCCATACTAGGGATAGGTTCACTACCTATTTGTATATCAATTTTCATTTAATGCTTTAATAGATGTTCATTCAGTAAATTAGTTTGATTTTTCAAGAAAAACGTCTAAATTCGCCCAAATTATTAAATGATGGTTGAATTTATCAAATTGCTTCAAACACCACATCTACACAATCAACTATCAACTCAAGCTATGGGTGCTCTCTCTCTCTCTCTCTCTCTCACCCTCTATAAACTCCCTGTCCATTGGATAGTTAAATGTTATTGATTTCTTTATTTAGCTTTCATACACTCAATACTCTCAATTGTATTGAAAACAAGTCATAATTAGATTTAAAATTTTCTTGACATACAAATAAACAAAAGAAAGAAAAAGAGAGAGATTTTGTTTGAAACATAATAAATGAATAAATTTTACAAAAAACGATTTGTTAATGAATTTGTTGGATAACAATATCTTTATACAAGAATCTCATAATTCATTTGTTGCGATAAAGAGAAACATTAGATATTTTCTTTCAATTTACGGCACTTTTTTAACATTTCTCTATAAGTGACCAAAAATAACTTTTGTCATTGCGATGACAGTGGTATGTATGGCATCGGCAGAGTTAGTCCATCCAATGATTATCTCTTTTTTCTCTCTAATGCAATATTATCATTGGTTCAGTGAAGCAAACTCTTTAAACAAGCAATAAATCTTAAACCATGTCTTTCTTTGGGCCAACTCTTAGGGGACAAGATTTCTACCAGTATTTCTGATTGTGTATCAGTATATCTGGTATAGTCTTTAGGAGCTGAGCTCCCGGAGTCCAGTACTCATCAATATGAACACTGATGGCAGTTATGGTTATGTGCTTTCATATAAAAGGGGCTAACAGTTGATGATTTTCATGCAATACTGCACTTGTATTGATGTATAATAACACTGACCAACAATCCTTATATTTATTACAATACTCTATACTATTGCTACCAAAAACATAAGCCATTGACTATACATTTAGGCTTTTAAGGCAATGGCATTTGCATTAAAATTTATTACCAATCAAGTAGTGCTCAAATGATACTTGAATTACATGATTGCTCTCTCATTTGAATAGCCATTCAAATGAATGATAAAAGTTAGCCAAGAAATGTGCTTTAAGAAGGGACAGTCATATCATATAATAATAGTGTATTACAACACCCGTTGAATGCAATGATGCGATCATAAGATCCTCTCTTTCATGTCTTAAGCAACCAATGAGTGTGCAATGAGTTATGACTAAATCAGTGAAGAAAGATAGACAATCTTTCTCTCTCTCTCTCTCTCTCTCTCTCTCTCTCTCTCTCTCTCTCTCTCTCTCTCTCTCTTGAAGGAACAGTAGTTTATGTCTTTTTATGTAAGACTATATGATAAGCCATCGAAGGAATTACATTATGTTTGGCGTAAAGACATCACTACATCACTGAGCTATCAGTAAGTCCTCAAAACAAAAGCTTACGAATTGATGGACTGGAATGAGAGACATAAGAGATGAAAGCATTGC